TCAGATAATATGCCCTTTTTGACTTATTTCCAAATAAAAAACCTAGTATATAAGGATAGTCGTGAGCCATGCCATATATTTTTATACTATATGTAAGGAGTTAGTGTTTGTATTTATTTAATTAAGGGGATTATAAACAAAATTGAATTCTCTTTTTTATAAATTTTGATGTCTTTTTTGTTTATATAAAATATAAAAAATTGTATATTATTGAACCAACTGTATATTCACCAAATTGTATGTTAAATGAATAATAGAGAAGCTTCTTTTATATCCTTCCATCTAAACCTGTGTTTAGGACTGAGGCAAGCAGATCTCCTTTCTCTGGTGTCTTGGTGACTTAAGCCTCTGCTGTAGTGGTTCTCTAAGTGTACGTGAAGATATGCTACAAGAAATTACTTACATGGACACTATCACTGTGTGCTTGCAACCTCGAGATATTGGTCTTACGAGAATGGGCCTAAACTAAGCAACACTTAAAACAAAACAAAACAAAACAAAACAGCCTTCCTATGTGTTTCCTCTCAACTCTCCATTTTGAAAATATTCAAATTTACAGAAAAGTTGAAAGAATAGTATAGTGAATATTTTTTGTTAACCCATTGCCATATTTACCGATGCTATTTTTTTATTGAAACAGTGGAAAATAAGTGCAGACATCATGAGTTTCTTCAGCCTGCGTCTTCTATGTTAAAAACATTTTTCTATGTAACCTCAGTACCATTATCACATTTTAGAAAGTTAACAGTAATTTCCCAATATTTATAATAAATAATCCATGATCCATGTTCAGATTGTCCAAGTTGTCCCTAACATGTCCTGTTAGTTTAAGAAACAAAACAACAACAAAACTAACCAGAATCCAATCAAGGTTCACGAATTTGTTGTTACGCTTCTTTTGTCTTTTTAAATTTAGAATAGTTCCTGTTCTTTGGATATGTATATTTTATGACATTGACCCTTTAGAAGAGTGCAGGACAGTTAATTTGTAGAATTCCTCACACTCTGAATTTGCCTGATTATTTCCTCATGTGCTTCTTGTTTTTAATTTTTTTTTGGTAACTGTTTGGAAATATATTTACAGAAATGTGCATAAGTGATAAGTATGCGGGTTTGTGAAAGTTAACTTTCCAGCCTCTGGGATTCTAAAAGTCTGGCTATTTTACAAACCCTTATCTCTGTACTTGTTTCTCTGTTGCATTTAGAGAATGCCTAGTGCAGAGACAATTTCCTGGCACTTTCCTACTGACCTGGGTGCTAAGGCTGGGCGACTTCCAATTTAGGCAGTTCCATTGTACTTATCTCAGATCCCCCACCGGGGTTTCAGTTAGAAAAGTTATTGTTTAGTTCTCCTTCTAAAAATGTTGCATTATGTAATTATCCTGGCTTAGGAGATTTGGCTTGTTTTTATACCATGTGAATGAATTGGCTATTAGGAAAGTCATTTTAAAGCTTTTGATGATGTCATTCAATTGTTAAAATTGCTTTAATAACTAGGTTGTAATAAGACATAACACAGGCTCTTAATTTTTTTTTGGTTGTAGAGATCCAACATCATCAGTCCAGAGGTGGCTCCTAGTCTTTTATTTAAAAAAAGATCAGATGTTAAAAATATTATGACCTGGGCCAACTTTGTCTTTCCCATCTTAATTACCCTTTCCCTCTTTCCACAAACTTGGTTTTATGTCTCTTGTTCTCAATGCGCACACCAAATGGTGATGACAGATGATAGTGTAAATTGAGGTCTTAACCTTGGGTCAGTGGGTTAATAGACCCCTTAAAATTACATGCAAAGTTTGTGTGTATTTGTTTATGTGCTTAGTTTTGGAGAGAGGTTTCCATAGATTTCATGAACTTTTCAAGGGTTTCTATGGGCCCCAAAAGCACTGGCTTAGTTACTTCTTACTAGAGCCTTTGATATTTTCTCTGACCCTTGATCCTCTTTTTCTTTTTAGTAATCTTTTTGTGTATTTCTTTTAGATTGAGAAATTATAAGGAATAAAATAAAATTCATTCATAATGTTAGTCATCACCCAGAGACCCAGAGAGTTATCTGTCTACTGATTAATCTATCAATCATCTCTGTTTACCACCCCACATACATGCACAGTTTTTAAAGGAACCATTATGTCTGAATTCTTTCTACTCTGCTAGAAGTAGATTAATAATACTTTTGTTTAATGGCTACAGACTAGTCCATTGTATGAATATACTATAATTTATTTAACCAATCCCTTCTTGATGGACACAGACACAGATATTTTTATTTTAACAGGAATCAAACTTTAGACAACAATAGTAAAGGAGATAGGAATTTGAGGCTTTTGCTGGTCACAAGAGCCATCTTCCTTTGTTTTATCCTTCCAAGCCCCACATCAAAGATTCTGGACTTTGGGTCAGAGAACGTTTGCTTTTTCCAAAAGAAAAGGGAACTGTATTTTTATATTCTTCCCTCTAGTTCCCAAGATAGTGACATGAATTGGCAAGTTATTTCAAATTAATAAAGAGTATAATAGATTTAGAGGATCGATCGACTTCAAAACAGCTTTATTTAAAGCTATCCTCAATTTTTAGGGTTCAAATGGGCCTCAATTTATATAGTTTACCTATATTTTTAAAAGTGTTTATGAAAATTATTGCGGAAAAAATTTAATACTTTAATTGTTAAAATGCTTGAATCATGTAGCCTAGGAGAGACTTTATCATATATAGATATATATGATTTCTCTCAGTTTCTATGTGTGTCTATATTTTTATGTGATATATTGCTGAAAGAGGTGTTGTCGATAGCCTTTTCTTTCTTTTCTTTCTTATCTGTTTACCAATGACACTACCACATTAGAGACTGCACCAGTCAACACCCTTGGGTCCAGGGGTAGTAACTGTTCCCATCTGGCTATGTGTGATAAATGGTGTTTATGTCATAGCATAAATAACATTTTGCTCTTCAATCAGCTGAGACTCTGGCTATTAAAAAAATTTACTCTACAAAAATCAATAACCAGTGGTTTTTGGAAAGGAGCAGTTCTTTAATAGTCATTCCATAAGTCTGTTTGTAAAGATAAACAATCAAATTTTTATGCTCATTGAAAATAGTGTAGGCAACAAGAAGAAATATAATCTCACAGATAAAGGATGACCTTAATTAAGGACAGGTAGGAAGCGATTTTAAGGAAAACAGAAGGCAACCAAAGAAACTCAATACCCTTTTGAAAGTCTTTAAGAATGTCACCCTTTTTCACAGATCCAGCCAACAAACAGATCCAGCCAACATTACAACCTCAGAGAGCTCAAGATGAATTTCCAGAAAAGCACGGAAAGTAAATTAGGTTGATGATAGTATTTATTCTGCGACTGACTTAATGCCGCTTGCAACTCTCTATGGACTCTAGCTACAATACAGAAAATCAATTTTATTTATTTATTTGCCTCAACTGTGACTATTACATTATTACTACTAGGAAAACATACAAAATCTAAATAAATACATTATTATATTAGCCAAGGTGTGAAATTTCATGGAAAATAAAATGAAAGACTGCTTTTTTGGGGAAAGAATACTGCTGAAAATAGACCTTAGATGCTTTACATTGCAGGAATTATTATGTATACTTTTAAACTAATGGTGTTGGCCATGTGTACCAACGTGCCTGAATAGACTGAGGTAAGGTCAGTAGTCCTGGTTTACTTAAAGTTTATTTCACATGCCTTGGATGAATACTTAGAGATGTTGTTTTTGCTGTAGTTGCTGCTGCTTTTGTGAGAGCTCAGTGTTTTTGCTCAAATTGGAGCATGCTTCACTGATTTCTGTCTGTAACTTGCATTAGGAATCTGTGGCTGCAAGTTACATTTCAGGAACTCGAGTTATACCAGTTTTATATCTCCACCATGAGCCTCTCAGCAAAGTGGAATTCTGAATGGGAAGGTGGAGATTTCTGTTCAGTACTTTCATTTATAACCTTGTTCACAGCACAGATAGTTGGCATTCTTGTTTCTATTGTAAGCGAGTCGCTCTCTAAATAATCACAAACTTAACCCAATAAAGAAAGAAGAAATAGCATAGTGTGCCAGTTCTCTGACTGGAAGACCTAACCCTTTTATGCAAGGTATGACCTTGCAGATTTGCTCCTGCTGGATGAAGAGATGACTAACCTTCAGGCAAAGTGCTTTGAAAAAAGCATCATGTTTCTCATTTCACTGTGTAATGACCAGGAGCTGAGAAGAGCTGTTTCCTGTCACTGCACTGTATCATTCTCATTTACATTATTGGCAGCTGTTACTTTGCTAGAAGTTTAAATTATCTCAAGAACTCTAAACTGAGTTCAGAAGTTTGTTTATTGGCGCTGCCTTAGGTTTCTGAAAACAGTCTTTTGTGTTCTCTCAGTCTTAAGAAAAGGCTCTTCTCAGAATCGGCCCTTCCTCCCTCCTTGCTCTTTTCTGGGAACCTGCTTCACTCTCATGAAGAAAATTAAATAAGAAGGACAAGGGGCTCAAAACTGGTCAGAAAGAAGACTCCAGTGGTGAGGCGACTTGAAACGGAAAGGAATTGGGACTCAACATCCTGTATTTGTGCTTTGTTTTTGAAACTTCCAGTTAGTTGCATTAATGAATTAACCAGCAGTCTGTAACCAGCAGTAATGGAAAGTGTTTCTCCTGTCCTGGTGGGGGAGCCAAATACTATAGATTTGTAACAGGAAGGCTGTTGATTCTGGCTTCATTGTTGGGCCAGTCATTTGTGAGCTGGTGGCCGGACCGCAGGCCACACACTTCTGTGCAAATCTTCCATGTCCTGGAACTGCCCGGGTATTGTTTCTACTGTCGGAGACGTGGCCAAGAAAAGATGGTGAGCCCTGGGTTTCATTTCTCGTTTGTGTGTGTCCTCAGCGCCGAGGACGGTGCAGTATGCCCGATTCAGTTTGGGCGCAGGGAGGGGGGCTGTTGAAATCGATGAACATATGTGCTTTGCTGTTAATGCTTTTTTTCTGTGTCATCCTCTGTAGAGTTCCGGGAACGCGTCCTATCGCTGCTCTATGTCTTCCTCTGCGGATTTTTCTGATGAGGATGATTTCAGCCAGAAATCTGGCTCGGCATCTCCAGCTCCTGGAGACACCTTACCCTGGAATTTGCCTAAACATGAGAGATCGAAAAGAAAGATTCACGGGGGCTCGGTGCTGGACCCTGCTGAGAGGGCAGTGCTTAGGATAGCAGGTAAGAGCATCCGTGGGGAAGGGATGGAGCCTGGTCGAGAGTTGCGGAAATTCACCCATCTGCTCAGCTGAGGGCGGGGGCAAGAATGGGGTGCATATCTGGGAGCCGATGCATTGGGCACAGATTTGTGCTCAAGGTAGGGGAGGAAGATGACCATGTTTACTTTATGCCCCAATTTATCGATAAAACGATTTGCCCTGCCTGCTGGTGACTAAGCTGTTTGGCCCTGTCTTCTGCTCGGATGAATTGATATCTTTGAAATGCAAGGAAGTATTTACAGATCTCTGCATTAAACTTTCCTATTTACGTGCAGTAAACACTGTGACAATCTGGAAGTACATTGTTAACTCCAGCGATTCCTGGTGTATTTGCCAGAAGCTGTGAGAGCCTTCATTTTCATCTTTGCCCCGGAGCAAAGAGCTACGCAGATTTAACTGGGGTAGATTCCTGGTTTTCTGTACCCAAGATTGTGGAGGGTATTCCAGCAACTCAGATGCCATTTCTGATTTTATTTATTTATTTATTTGTTTATTTATTTATTTATTTATTTATTTATTTATTTATTTTTGTGTGTGTAGCATCTCTGTCAGCATCATGTGCCTATAGCTGCTTTCTGTCCTTAGCGCTTTTGAGGGTTTAGCCATCATGCATTCCTGATTAATTAATATATGGGAGGTGCCAGGGTTTCTGTTGTTACCTGGTGTTCCCTTGCATTGGCTGTAACAGTTGAACCAGAAGTGATGGCTTGTTTTACCCAGCTGAAAGCTAAGAACACCTTGGAAATCAATCCTCCAACCACGCAGTGCCCGTGTGGTTCGTGTGTATGTGTTCTGTGCTTGAGAGTTGCCTCTTGGGGTAGTTGTGCCTCCATTCCTTCAATAATTTTTTTCTCTTGGAAATAATAATAGAGTAGGATGAAGTATGTCTTTGGGGATCTCATGCAAAGGCCAAAGGCCAAGTGTTTTTTCAAGTCGGTCTCTGCAGACTCCTTTCCTCCCTCCTCCCCCTCTCTCAACTTTGGGGCCTGCTGCCCCTCAGTTTCTTTTGCCTTTGGCTATAATGCATAATTGGTACTTTATCTTCTTCTGAGGGGGCTGTAGGGGACTAGCCCGGAAACCAGCCACTGTGGCAGCTGAGAGTCCCCCTAGAGTCCCCCCAATGGGATTTTCTGATTACGGGAAAAACAAACAGCTCCCAGCCAGCCATTCTCTGGTCTGGGTTTCTGGGGCAACAGCCTTGAGCTTCTTCTGGCTTCCGTTGTGAGATGCTGGCTAGTCTCACCCAGGCCTTTGAAGAGGCGGGGTGGAGTGAGGAAAGGGGAGAAGGAGGGAAGGGGGAGAAGGGAGGATGGAGGATGGAGAGACTGTCTGTGAGCTAAATGAGAGTGAGCAGTGGTGACTTGGGAGACCTGGGGCAGACCTGGCTCTTACCTGCACACCTGGAGTACCAAAAAGTGTTTAGTCACTGAGCCTTGACTACTTGCCCTGTTGAAAATCCCCACTCCCCACCCCACCCCAGAAGGTCTGAGGTGCTGGGAGGAGACAAGGTTGGTATCAGATATTTGACTCAGCAGAAAGGGAAGATAGGAGAAAGAAGGGTATATGAGGGGAGCCGATGGGCCTTTTTGGAAAGCTTGGGGCATCAGAATAGGATACTTGTATTCTGTGCATTTTTGTGGAAGGTAGAGGTGCTTCTAAGCTTGAGAGTTTTGATAGTGGTAGCAAAGGTGGATATTTCTAGTAGGGAAGGAAGGGGCAGATATTCATCAGGAGGAATGAGATTATATAAACTGAGGAAGACTACTAGGCAGAAAGTCATGAGAAATTGGCGGAAACAATCTTAAATGTACACCCAAGGTGGAAGAACTGGAAGACCTGGGTGCTAATAGGATGCAGTGGACAAACAGATGCTGGTAGTAGACTGTAGACTCCATGAAGGCAGGGGGCATGTCTTATTATATATAAAATGCTTGTTGAGTGATTTGTGGGGATAGCTACCACGTTAGTGGTAGTCGATGCACTCGAGACCTCAAAGTTACATACTTCTAAGATTATGCTAATCAAAAACAGAACAAAATAAAATTAAGAAACAAAATAAGGAGCCCTAGTTTGGAAGTATACTATTGTTTTAAAATAAATATTGGTAAATTGGCTGTTTGCTACACAAATCATAATCAATAATCATACATGGAACATAGACTTGGGGGGCTAGTCCACAAATATCTCTTTAATTGTAATATATCTAAAATATGAAATTCAGGTATATTGTGTGTTAAATTTGCCATTGATCACCCAGTGTGAAGATAAGAGAATAGGGAATCTGAGCGAATTTGGTGCTGTAGATAGTTTGAAAACATACTATTAAGATTTTGACTTCTCATTTTATTAGACATTTTCACACTCTGCCTAAAATTCATCCCAACTCTGAAATCCATCCTTAGTGAGAGATGGGATGAGGTTCAGAAATGGTATGAGAATGTTCTCAGTGTTCATTACTTAGTAATAAAAGATTGAAAGTTCCATATTTTTATTTGTTTTTAAGATCATAAAAATAGAATTGAATATTAAAATTGTCTATAGCCAAAAAGACCATCTAGTCTACAGAATATCTTAATTCGTTCACATTTAATAAGTATTTATTGAGCCCCTGAAATGAAATGAAGTTTTGCCTCTAAAGAAGTCAGTCTAATATGATAGATGTGTTAGACATTTACAACATGGTGTGAGAGACTAGTTGTAAAGGCTGTAAGACATAATATTACAAGAACCCAGAGGAGAGTCTAATTAACTTGGACAGAGAGAGGAGGCATGGGGTGGGGGTTCCTGAAAGATTTCTGAGGGAAAGTGCCACTCGAGGTGAGATTTAAAGAGCTTGATGGAATTAGGGCGAAAGGGAAAGCCGTTTCAGAGGCCGGGAAACTATAAGAATAAAGGTAGGGAAACTTCAAGTAGAATGTGTAGCTAATGCATGGGATTTAGTAGGGAATAGCAGAAACTGTAAAGGTGTTTATGTGCAATACCAAGGAGATTAGACTATGCTGTAGGTGGTGGGGAATAGCTGAAAGATTTTTAAACCATGCAATGACATAATCAGGTTTACATTTCAAAAAGTCATATTGGTGATGATGTCACATGCCTGATACTTTACATTTTTAAAAGTGCTTTTGCATTTATTATGGTTCCTTCATTGTAAAATCTCAGACTATAATATACACAGTTCCTATATTTCAGAGGGGTCAGTGTGAGAATAAGGTAACAGAATGTAAGGAAAGGGGCTTTGTAATACCCATTGTATAAATGCCTTTTATATAAGAACAATACAGATCTGCTGTTCTTTAGCTACAGGATATTGTAAGTTGGGTTTCTCAGTCTTGAAGTGCCTGTAAAGGTGCACGGTTTATCAGTGACAATGCTATATTAAAATATGGATTTTTGTACCATGTGAATTCTTTGAAGTTGGAATTGAAGTATCTAAGTAGAGGAAGACTTTGGACTCAGGAAAACTTGAGTGTGCACTGATTATATTCATTAAAGTGGGTCCTGCTGGGTGTCAGTCTCTGATGAAGACTCAGACTCAATGACCTTAGTCATTATGAGGGAGACAAGACAGTTTTGAGAATCTGTGTTTGTACATGTGTGGTCTGTAAATGGAACGACTCTTACGAATCGAATTGCTAACCCTTTGATTTCAAGAAGGTATCACATATGATATCTGTTACTTCATCAACTAATGTTTACATAAATACCTACCAAGTTGCAGGAAAACTGTAGCAATCCTAAAGGCTAAGTGGGACATGGAATCAGAATAAGATTATAAGCCAGTGGTCAGAATAGAAAAGAGAAATGTGGTTTTGCTTTGTTTGGAATAGGCCAATTACTGAAAAGTAAAGCTTTCCAATTAAAACTTAAATTTTTTGAAGAGTATACCAGTTTTTCAAGAGTACTCATCCCCACTTAAGAGTTAAAGGAAAGAAAAGGGTCTAGATTCACAGCACTGAAAAAGAAAAAAAAAATATATCAAGGACAAAAAGGTCAATACATATGAAAAGAAGAAATAGGGAAGACGTGAGCAAGAGGTGAAGTCAGATGGTTAACAATGAGCCGATTTATTTAATGATAATAGCTAACACTTATAAAGCTATTTCAACTATCTCAACTTTATGAGGAAGGCACTGTTATCCCCATTTTATAGATAGAGAGAGGCTCAGAGAGGGTAACTTGCTTCCATCAGACAGCAAGGAGCCAGGATTTCATCTAAGGCAGCCTGACTGCAGTCAGTACTCTTAAACACATCCATTTACATGCCTGGGTACCATCTGATTCCTCCAGTGGACCCTTAAATTAACCACATTAGTATATGATATGCCAAAGTTAAGGGAAATGTACCTATTTTACTCAAGTGCATTGGATACCAGTTCTGTGGGGAATGAATAATGGTCGAGAGGAGGGAGGTGACATAGTAAGCTGGGGGAGTTGTGAAGGGACTGGGCCTGTGGCCATCGTGAAGCTCAGCGGCAGATTCGCAGGCCGGCTCTGGGGGGCGAAAGGGAGGGACCGCGGGCAGGTCCTCTGGCCACCGCCGGGCGGCGGGGCGCGCAGGCGCACACGCGCCCGGGCTGTCAGGCCCTGATGCGCGGGGCCACCTGCAGAGGCCGCCCGCCCCGCCCGGGAGATGTGTCCTGGGCGCGGACCCCCGTGCCCTTTGCGCTCCGCACTGCCACAGGGGGACCAGAGTCTTGTGCCATAAGCTGGGTTGAAAAATGTATTTCCCACTCTCCTCCCCGCCACCCCTTCCCTGGGGAGAGCCTCCGGCCCCTCCGCAGGGGGCTGCGCACGTCTGCGGCCGCGATCTTCGGCTTTGTTTCCCAGGCACCTGTTGTGGGTCCCAAATAGAAACCTCGTCCTTGGGGATCCGGGGCCAGCCGGCCAGTGTCCGGGGGTGGGCGTGCTTGGCGGTGCGGTCAACTGGGGTGGGCGGGCCGGGGAGGGGACCTGGGCCGCCGTGGCTCTGCTTAGAAGGGAGGGGCCGAGCGGCGCCGGGGTCGGAGCGGAGCCAGCCGGGGTGCTGACCGCTGCTCTCGCCCCCCTCCCTTCCGCCCTCCTCCCTCCTCCCTCCCTCCGGGGGCGCGGGCGAGTGTCTGCGGCGCGGCGGCCAGGAAATGCCGCAGATGCGCCGCGCAGCATCCCGGGCGGTGGCAGCGCGCGGGTCCTCCCGCACGGCCGCCGCGGTCTCGGCCTGGCCGGGAGCAGGCGCTTCGTGAAGGGCCAGGGAGGCGGCCTCATTGGCCTCCGAGGGTCCCGTCGCCTGCTGCCCCCCGCCTGTCCACGCCGTGCTCCTGGCTCCTCCGCCCGGCGTGGCGCTGCTGGTCGCCGCCCCCGGGCTCGCCGAGATTTGCTGCTGCTGAAACCCGAGAGGGACTCTGGCTCCCCGGGAGCCTGGCGGCCCTGCACCCGCGGCCAGACAGGGGGCCTGGGCGTTTCCTCTGCTGGCTCAGGCGCCCGCCGCCCCCTCGCGCCCCGGCTCTGCGTCTCCGGCTTCTGCGCTCTCCCCCAGGCTGCCGCTCCTTCCGCTTTTCCAGTTATCAAGGCTGCGTCTTGCTGACTAGATACTGTCCAGGGTTCCGAGGGAGAGAGGGGAATTGGCCAGTCATCGCTTAGATAAACTTCAGCATGGCGGGGTACCTCTCCCCAGCCGCTTACCTGTACGTGGAGGAGCAGGAGTACCTCCAGGCCTACGAGGATGTCCTGGAGAGGTACAAAGGTATGTGGTCCCCGGCGCTTGGGCTGCGGGGCTTGGCACGGACCAGCGGGGGAACTGTTATCTTTGCTGAACCAGAGCCACCACCGCCTGGGCACAAGTAAACAGGTGTCTGGACCAATCTTGGAATAAACCAGGTCTTTTTGGGTGGGATTCAGGACCCGCAATGCTGGGAGGGGAGCGGGGCGAATAATGATCCGGAGACGCCCTTGGATGGGTGGTAGAGTTGGGGGAAGGGGTTTGATTTCCAAGAAGCACATTGCTTTTTCTCTCCCTTGTAAAAGCTCTTAAACACTACGCATAATCATAATTCTTCCTGGGAGGATGGATACCGATGAATTCTCCATGGGATTACTAAGGCATTGCTGCTCTTGCTTGACTTGGGTATTGGTTCACCCTATTAAGAAAGGTTCTTGGGTTCTTAAATTATTGGACTGTTTCACCACTGAGAGCATCACCAAATCGTTTTTTAAAAAATGATCTTATTTGAGAAATGTTTATGAATTGGGACTATCCGTTCTTTTGTATCATAAAGATTATTTGATAGTGTGATGGATGTAAGACTTTAGTCAATGAGTCTGTTGTAAATTTAAATTGATATTTTGGGATGAGTTTCTGCCTGTCCTTTGTGTTGTGGAAAATCTATGCCAAACTGATAAAAATTGCTGTTTTAGTATTATGTTTACTTTGGCTTTATGGCTAAGTATAGTATTAGACAAAGTGCACCTTCTCATCTTAAAGGGCCTTTTTATCCCTGGAAATTATTTTTTGATGTGTACACATGATTCCCTTATTGTGGCTCCTAAAACACTCCACACCCAAGGTAGCTCACAGAGCCTTATATATTAATAGTGAATAGTGACCTATTTCATAGGTCAGATTCAAATGGTTTTGCATCTTGAATATTTGCTTTGGGTTTGAGAAATTCAGTTTCTGTAAATTGAATGGGGATTATATGATTAAAATGCATGTGTTAATAGGTTTCTATTATTAGAAAGTAAAAATATAAAATCCTGAACTGAATAATTAAATCCCAAATCTCCAAAAAACTCAGAATTCACTCACAAATGTTTTCTCTTTCTAGAACATATTTTATTACTGATATGCTTTTAATTCATGTAGAATTTTGTAAACTGCACAATCAGAATTCCTTTGCACTTTTGTGTATAATACTGCCACTGAGCAAGTGCAGTGTTATTTTAGGCTAATGCACGTTTGTTGCATTTGTGTGTATGTGTACATGCACGTGTAATATACTCATGTTTACATTATCTTTTCATTTTAAAATAAGGTTCTTAGTCAGCTGTCTCCAGAACTTTACAAATGAGAAATACCAATATGGACTTGTAAACCATATTGAAGACATACACCTGAGCTTTTTAAAGTCAGAAAAGTGAAAGTACTAAAGCATATATGTATATATTTCTAAAAATTATTGCTATATAAATTTATATCCCATCATAAATTTACTTCAGTGACGGATGGGTGATTTCAGGTGACTTAGCAAACAGAAATAACTAGTGCTGATTTGACTTGTCTTGAGGACGCAGACATTATTTAAAAGCTTTTCTTTATTGGTTTTTGGAAATAAAAGGAAATTAAAGATGCACAGGCTATTGCAGTTCTTAATACACTTCATTTTAATTATAGCCTAATGATCAGTATTGCACTCAAACATATACTTTTTCAAATATATAGTCCAAAGTTTTGCTGAAAAAGTGAGGGTTCTTTCCTTCATTTTCTTTGTGGTTCTAAAATGCTTAGGTCATCAGTTTGTACTCGGCTTTATAGATGTTCTATGTTTCATTTAGTCTTGGAAAGGAAAGCAAGATTATTGGCCGGTGTATTTACATGAAAAGCTGGAGACCTGGAAAACTCATTGTTTCCTGATGTGTTTTGAAGCCAGTTATGATTTCCCATCAGTATCCAATACGATGACTTCACTACAGTGCTTATTATCCTGATGACTTGCTGTGGGGGCTGATCTAATCAGAAAAGAATTGTAGGCTTTGAATAGGGAGTGTCAGTTCACTAAACTTTCAAAGTACAGTTGCTCATTTTCTGAAATCATGCATTGTTCAAAACATTTTACATTCTCATTTGAACTCAAGACAGATTATTTTGATTTTTATTTCTGACAAAGTTTCTTGGTTACAGAATGAGTTTGCATTCAGCTAGAGTATTATCAGGTTGCCAAGTTATCATATGCCCCAGCTGTTGAATAGTGTAAGTGGTAGAGTCAGCTGGAACAAATTCAAAATCTGTCTGTCTTCAGAAGTGTGGAATTTTAATAATCTATAATGTTAGCATTTAGGAATATTAGATTCAGAAGTTGAGAGTTTTGTTAGACTTAGTCTTCAGACAGCCTTGGAGGGACTTCAAATCTAATCCTCTGTAGAAAAACAAGAATAGTGGCAAGTGAGGCTTAATTATTTATGGCGTGGTCTATTCTTGTGTCTTGCTTTGGTCCTTTACTTCTGAGTGAAAATAGGCAACTGTTTGCTGAATTAGAATAACACAGAAAGAGCTATTTGCTACAGAAATGGGTACACTGTTTTGCTTCATATTCTACTCTTTTTACTTATAAAATATCTTAATAACTAAAATATTCAGGGCATCTGATTTAAAAAGCATATTACTTCTGCTGATACCACAGTTGGGTTGAATAAAGGCATTTATTTATGAATAAAACATACCTATTATTGTTTATGCTAGAAATACCTAGGTTTAGTGGCTTTCTTTTATATCTGTAATAAATTACCCAGTGTATTTTTCATGGAATACAAAACATTTTATAGATCAGCATGAAAGATACAGAATGGCCACTCTTGTTTTTCTTGTCAGTATAAGGAAACTAACCTATATACTGTTATTATAATTATTATGTATTATTATATTATTAAAAATAATTAGCTATCACTATGAAATTCTGCTGTTTGAGTCATTAGAAGATTTTATATTCTCAGAACATTATTACTTTTTAAAATATGATGTTAAGTATCAAAATGAGATAATGTGAACTCAATCAATTTTATTCTATATTTCTAGACTTAATTAAAAAAGAAGTTAAATTATTTTGGTCCAACAAATGGATATTTTTCCATTGACCTGGAAGTTGGTTGTCCCCAGACAACTGTAAAAAGTGTTTCATTATTCTCTGTGAAAGTGAAATGGCAGATTTTATTACTTGTCTGTAATATCACTAAAAAACTCTCTTCGATTATTTAGAAAAAAGTCAAAATTCTCTGTTTTTCATGAAAACTTTTAGCAATCCCTGTAGTCCCTTCTCTCAGTAGGGCTATATATTTTTTGCTTACGTGCATGGTGACAAAAGGAACTGAGAACTACTCCAACTATAGTTTTCATTTTTAGTTTAGTTTTATGGCCTACCAAGATTTGCGATTGGTAAAAATCCTGTCTTTTTATGTGTAAACCAACTCTGGTGCCAGTTGAATTGAAAGTTGGAGTACAGTGGTCTCTCCTTATTCATGGGGGATACATTCCAAGACTCCCAGTTGATGCCTAAAATCATTGATGATACTGAACCCCTATATATATATATATATATACACATACATACACACTATGTTTTTTCATATATATATGTATACACACTTTACGGCTTCTCTTTGTCATATTCAAATTGCCAGCATCACTACTCTTCCGCTTTAGGTCTATTAGTAAGTAAAATAAGGGTTACTTGAAAACAAGCACTGTGATACTTTGACAGACAATTCGATAACCAAGTAGCTACCAAGTGACAAACAGGCGAGTAGCAAATACAGCATGGACACAATGGAAAATGAGAATTCAAATCTTAGGCAGGTCAGAGTACAGTGGGAGAGATTTCATCACACTACTTAGAATGGCATGCAATTTAAAATTTATGAATTGTTTATTTCTAGAATTTTCCATTTAATATTTTTGGAAAATGGTTAAACGTAGGTGACTGAAACTGTGGAAAGAGAAATCATGGATAATGGAGGACTGCTGTATAAAGATCTCCAGGAATCACTGTCTCCCCCATCCCCCAAACATGGGTCATATGGTATATATAGCCTTTGATGATCTTGCTCAGTGGTTTTCAGTTGGTTTCCAGGATTCAGCAAAAACTTGATTTCAAATTTCACTTGCTCATGCTCTGCTCATAGCTTTAACTGTATTGCATCATGACAGTGTTATTTTGTAGCTAGTTAGTAAGTCTGGGCTTTTTCTTTAAAAAATGAAATACGCTTATTAGGTAATGAGTGTTAAGATTGTGTTTGGTTGTAACAGAAAACATAATAGTACTTACTAAATAGATGTTTTCTTTTTTCTCAGGTACTGAAAGGCCCAAAGTAGGCAAGCCAGGGCTGTGGAGTACCTCTATCTGCCAATAGATCCCAGACTCCTATGTTCTGCTAAGCTACTTGTAGTGTATCATGTGATGGTTTTGTCATCGCAAGATGGCTGCTCCTCTTCCAGCCCTTTTGTCTTAATTCCAGATGGGAAGAAAGAGAAGTGCAAGGACAAAGGACAAAGGATACGAACTAGTTGATTCAGCCTCTTTTTAAGGAGCTACTTAGGACCCCATTTAGCAACTTTCACTTGATCTCATTGTCCAGAACTGTTCCAGAGGACACCACTATCTGTAAGGCAGACTAGGAAAATATGGGTTATTAAGCTGGTCCCATTTAGAACCCTGAACAAAATTGAAGTCTTTTTGTAAAGGACAAGGAAAAAAAACGATATCTGATTCGCAACCTGCACTGTCTGGCACATGGAGAGTAAAATGTCAGTGTTGAAATTAGAAACTTAAAGTTTGGACACGTTAACATCTATAACACGATGTATTCGACTTTCCTAAAGTTTGAGAGACTGAGAAGTCCATTGAAATTTCTGAGAAGTTTCAAAGTGACACAATGAATGTTTTATAATGATACAACGTGGATTTGAAAAGTAACTTTTACCCAATAACTAGGATTTAAATTGGCCAAAGAATGGTGCTTCACACTGTAAGAAACATATATTAGTTCAGGCATGTAACCAGTTATTAGGTATTGTTAGTGAATTTAACTTTGAACGCAAAATATCATCCTGATGCTCCTTTAGTTTCTTTTGTTCTGACTTAGCCTTATACAGTTATCTCAATGTTTATTTAGTCATGGACTTTTCAAAAAGCTTTCTGCTTTTTAAAACTTTTTTTTGGAGCAGTTTGGAGAAGCTTATTTTCTAGCTCAGTGATGATTTTGGGTGATAAATGACATATAAGAAGAGGTGGTGAGAACAATTTCTTGTCCTACTGTTATTTTGTAGCCAGGCAAAGAAGCATTTGTGTTTCTGCCTTTGGGTCCTGTGTGCCCAGGAGCCTGGCTCTTCGGGGAGCTAGAGTGTTTGTAAAAACATCTGAAGCTACAGAGGTGGCAAAAAAATGGAGTATCTAGGCTGTCATTTTCCTTTCTGTTTTCATTTCCCAACTGAGTATAAACACGTGTAAAATGCACTAAGATGATCTGACCCTGTATGACTAATGAATAAATTGAGTGAGAAGATTTGTAGTTTAGAATGTTTAGTATTTCATAGCGATTAAAAAGAAACTCAGTCGTTTCAGTTCCATGGAACTCTTTTCTCTATAATGGCTTTTGAAGAAAGACTTCTGTGTCCATTTCTCAGCTCTTAGTAATTTAGGGATCACATTCTACCCATTTTCAAAGAGGAATTTCAGGCAGCTATCTGCTGAAGTATATCATTATTTCTATCAAGTAAGGCTTTTACGTATTTGTTTTTGGTCTGTCCCTTTAATGCAAATTTATTTGCTGTTGTTTTCTACCTACTTTCATCTCCCTTAGAAGAGATGAATTGGATGTTAAGAAAAGCTTTGTATTTAGGATTGAATGACATTTTATGTTGTAGGAAGGTGAAAATACCAGTGAATTAAACTTCAAGAGGAGAGAGAGTCTAGCAGACTAGCATGATTCTTCCATTTCATTAGCATAACCACAGAGTCCATTTTGAATGCTTGGCTCAAGTGCATAGTAGTTTTTAGGGATGGGGTTAGATAGGGGTTATTGGAATATGGAAATAGGTCAATATAAAGGGTTATGTTGGACCAGATTGAAAAGGACCTGAATGCTATGCCCAAGACCAAGTTTGGGCTTTATTCTGTAGATAGGAAGGGGAAACTGGATGATTTTCAGGAGAATGTTACCAGTGAGATAGGTTTTAGTAAGATAACTCCAGTTACAGTGTGGAGGATTGAGTGGAAGGAAGACTCAGAAAACAGGGAGACAAGTCTGTAAGATTCTGATGTTTGCAATGGGAAGCTGGATTCAAAAGAAATTTCAGAAATTGACAGCATGGCTGACTGGTTGGTTGGAGTATTTTTTTTTTTTTTTAATTTGTAAAAAAAATGTTCATTAGAAAGTATATTTTTGAAACAAATTTTTAATATTACTCATTTTTAGACCTTCTTTGGCCGAAATAGAGTGAATACTGTTTTATTTGACCTTGGAAATACTGCAGATAGTATGACCCAAAAAACTGGAATTTTCCATTGAACGTGGGCATCCATAAGTAATACCTTATCAGTCTTGCTGGGAATCCTCTGAGTATGATTTATAGTGTATTACAGCAATGAATCTGTTTTCTATAAGCAAATTAAATTGTTGGTTTCAGATCCATTTTAGAAATAACTGTTAATGATTAAAACAAATTTTGTAATGTATTTCAACAATTTCTTTTCATTTCTTATTTTTTTTTTTACATAAACTTCAGCAGATTTGTAGTCAGTTTTGTTTGTAAGAAGTTCAATGGCCATATAATTTAGTATTAAGTTCTAAGCCATTTTTGAATTTTATCTGATAAGCCCTTAATTTGTAGCTTAAAATAGTAAAAAGAATAGCTACCATTTATCTGCCTACCTACTTATATGCTAGGCACAGTGCTGAGTATTGCAAATGAATTTTGTTTATAATTTTTCATTCTTATATATCTTGGGTACAACTATGGCCATTTTATTAATATGGAAATTGAAGCTTAGAGAAGCTAATTTTCCTGAAATCATACAGCTCTAAGTGGTAGCAGTGGCATTTGAACATCAGGTGTATACTTGACATAAGCTATATATTTTGAGTTTCATTACATTGACTGGAAAATTTTGCAGAAATAGTTTTTATGAGAATTTTTTATTAGGATTATGATCTTGATTAATACTAGAACCTTCTGAGATGTGTTACATTGATGCATGAAATCAAAATTAATAGTTTAAAAATTCATAGAGATTTATATCAATTTGAATATTAAGTGGACTTGGAAGCTTGAACTGATGTATCTTAGCTGGATTATAAATTCTAAAAATCAGCTACCCATGAAAGAAAGATAAAATTTTAATATGAGCATTTCCAGTGTGTATTTATGTTGAAGAGATTTTGAAAAGAATTAAATTTTATAAATGTCACTAGTGAATGTGGCTGCTTTGATACATGCCTGAAATGTTTCCTGGAAAGAATCGTCAAAAGGAGTTGACAAAGTCTTGATTTTTCTCTAGTGGGTGAAAATATTTCCCAGTGAATCCTGGTATTAAAGACATTATACAAAGATTCTATTGTCTCCGTGAATTGAAAAATGCCCCTATATTCAGTGTTACAGTTCTCCATGATGGTCATGCCAGTATGACAATTTGTATTCTTGATTTTTGGCATGAAATGATACTGCTTTGTGGCTCCTTTTATCCTACCTTTTTTTAAGGCAGTTAGACATGACAGGTCTGCTGCCTCACTATCTACCTCATTGGGTTAATAAAGGTAAGATAAAATAGGGCATGTGCAGTATTTTGATCAGTAGAGATTACATAGACATTCAGTGAATGAAACAGACTTAAGAGCTCAAGTCCTCTGGCTTCTCCTAGGCCAGGAGCCTTTAAAAAAAAAAAAAAACAACAAATATACCACTTTTTAGAGCAGTTCTAGGTTTACAGAAAAATTGGACAGAAAGTACAGAGTTCCCATATACTCCTTCCCTTCCACACCCTCCCCGTTTCCCTTTTTGATATCTTGCATTGAAATGGTACATTTGTTATGATTTATGAACAAATATTGATAGATTATTATTAACTGAGATCCATTGTTTACATTAGGGTTCACTGTGTTGCCTAGTTCTATGGGATTCAACAAATGTATATCATGTGTTTACTATTACTGTATCATATACAGTAGTTTCAATGCCCCCTCAAATCCTCTGTGTTCTACCTATTCATTCCCCCACACCCCCCAACCTCTGGCAAGCACTGATCTTTTTATTGTCTCCATAGTTTTGCCTTTTCCAGAATGTTGTAGTTGGAATCATAACAGTATTTCATATTGGCTTCTTTCACTTAGTAATATGCATTTAAGTTTTCCTCTGTGTCTTTTCATGGCTTGATAGCTCGTCTCTTTTTTTTTTTTTTTTTTGCTGAATAATAATTTCATTGTCTGGATGAACCTCAATGTGTTTATCCACTCACTTATTGAAGGGGAGGTCTTGGTGCTTTCAGGTTTTGTCAACTATGAATAAAGCTGCTCTAAACATTTGTGTATAGGCTTTTGTGTCGACATATTTTCACCTCATTCGGGTAAATACCTAGGCGAATGACTGCTGGATCATATGGTAAGATTGTGTTAACTTTGTAATAAACTGCTAAACTGTCTTCCAAGGAGGCTATACTATTTTTCATTCCCACCAGGAATGAATGAGAGTTCCTATTGCTCCACATCCTCACCAGAATTTGGATTTTAGCCGTTCCAAAAGGCATATAGTGATATTGAATTAATTTGCAATTTCCTAATGGAGTATCTTTTCATGTGCTTATTTGCCATCTGTATATCTCCTTTGGTGAGCTATCTGTTTAGATATTTTGCCTACTTTTTAATTGGGTTGTTTTCTAATTGTTGCATTTTAAGATTTTTTGTATATTTTAGAGAACAGTACTTTATCAGATATGTGTTCTATACATGGTTAGTAGCCTTTACCACTACCTCCTTTTTGACACTTTTAAACCATTGCATATTGTAGATATTATTTAAATAAATAAGGCCCTGATTATTTCCTTTCATATGGTCATATTGTTCTTGAGTATTGTTTTGCTTTGGGTACATACATTGTGTATTATACCTACTTCATAGACACCAATTGCATGTGGTGTCTCAGAGTTCAGCAATCTGACAGTTTGCTTTAGTATATCTACATATGCTGCTGTAATCAAGTATCCAGTTGGTTGGCAGCTATGATGCTTTGTAATACAAGTCTAAAATTAGTTGAACTGTTCTATTTTAAGGATAGACTGAAATTAGTAGTCCATGTCCTGCAAAACATATGAAAGTTATACTCTCAGGATATTGAATTATTTCTTTTAAAATGTAATCAGAAGTAGGGTTAGGTAGAAAGTAGTTTGTTTCAATTTTTTGGAAAGTTTTCGTTATATGGATTTGATTATAGCCTGAGTGTAATGCTGCATATATGTAATACCTAAGGACACAAAGTTTTACTCTTGCCCCTTAGAGTTAAGATATTGCTTTTACATAAATGATCTTGTTTGAGTTTTAAAACCATATGAGTTTAGAGGTAGAGCAAGATTACCTGAATTTTCTTTTAGAATATTTTAGAAGAGTCACAGCTGCCTTTGCTAGGAAAAAAAAAATTGAATGATTAAAAGAGTATTTGGTTGTTCGTTTTTGTGATTTTTGTCATAACTTTATCTACATAACAGTAACTAGAGAATATTGAAAATACTTAGTAGACAGAAAGGTGAGTGACTGAAATTCAAAGTTGAATTTTACATGTAGTGTGAATTTTATAATCTCTTTAAGTGAGGGCTTATGGTTATGAAGGCATTTGCAGTGTTATTGAATGCATCCTTCAAGCAATCTCAGAAGCTATAACAATTTAGCTACTACTAATTTGTGGTCTTTATACTTTTTCTTTGAAAAATTTGGGAGAGTCTATAGAAGGATTGAAGAATTCTAAGTTACAGAAAGCAAAATGCCAGGATAGTTTACTTTTATTGTGTTTACTTAATAGTTTTTTTTTTTATTGTGTTTACTTAATCTCCATGCTTTTGCATTTAGAAAACTATATAGAAATTTAAATTTCTGTTTCAATAAATTAAAGTGATAAACAGAATGAAATTCTTTTTTAATTAGCATTTCTTGGAAACATTCCAGCAACATTGTTCTTCACTTCATATTTCTCATATTTTTAATCAGAAATTAGTTGATTACATGTTTCAAGTGAACAAAATTACCATGTAATATACACTCTTCCAAGCCTCTATCACATTTTGTACTTAGTATTTCCCTAGGAAAAACAAGGAAGAGATGAAACACTTGGGGCCAGGAGAAGTTGATCCTCACCTAATTGGAATATGTGGTTTAATTCTAAATAGTTATTGATCCTATACTTTAAAAATATTCAAAGGAACTAGGATCTAGGGAAGGAAGAGGAAAACAAGGGTACAGGACGGTAGCCTCCCACAGAGTATAGTTAGATGAGAAGGGTGGACCAGTTTCACTTATTATAAGTGAGTGCCACAGAAGAGTAATCTGAGCATCGAAGAGTTTCATAAGCAGGGTTGGCATTTGAAGGAAGGCAGAATTTCAGTGGAGGGGAAGAAGGCTTTGTGTTGTGGGGGTGGATGGTGTGAGCAGAGGGTTTTCTTGACCTTACCATTTCATCTGGGCAATCTGACCTTGCATTTCATTTTTTGCTTATAGGAAAAGTATTATCATAATGACTTAATCAATACTTTAATATAAATCAGATACATTTTGTTTATAGTTAATCAGTGTTCAGTTAAAAACTATCCCCCCTAGATAAATATGTTATCAAATCTCAAGATTTAGTAGTGAAAAATAACTTTTAGGAATGGCTCAGCAAATGTAAAGTTTGAATGAGATTTAAGATGGTGTAGGAAACTCTGAATTAGATTGATAATAATGAATAGCACCTTACATACTTACAGTTTTACATATACGATGTAATTTGATTCTTATACCAACTCTGAGGCAAGTAACATAAGAGCTCTTATGTTATAGCTAAGGGAACCAGGCTCCCGTGATTGCATTGACTGGGTAGCTGACTGGAAACTAGTATAGAGAATTGTGGCCCTTCTTCGTATGCATTCAAAGTTATTAATAGTATAGCTTAAGTAATGTATTTGGTAAGAGGTGAGTGATCTCAGTTTAAATAAATAGCCATTGAATATGTTCTGGAATTACTGGTAGCAGTCTATATTTAGGAAGGAGAGAAGTATGGTTTACTATTTGTTTAATGTGGTTTTGGGCTATCTCCATTCTACAAACTTCAGGGTAAATTCTGTTGCCGGCTGTTGAGAATTTAGTTGCTTGAGGAAAACACCCCATTATCTTTTATCTCTGTTGTTAATTGAAGCAGCTCTTAAAATTATAGGGTTTTACATTTAGGCAGAAAAACGATCTCATTGACTAAAGATGTAATTTCTATTACTTAGTGGAAAAGGAAGAACTAGGTAAGTACTTGGTGGAATGTGGGAAGAAAAATCTGTGACATAAACTTGCTACCATTTTTGGAAAATAAAGACATGTACAAAATATGAATTCTCCCCCCGCCACCCTCGCCCAGTCATTAACAGAACTATAGTTCTGCATCTAACCCTGATCTAACCCTGATTCTGCTTTTCTACCTGCCCAACTTGGAGAATTGCCATTGCTTGTGGTTGATACAGGGAGGAGATAGAAACATTGAGTGTGCTAATTTTTCGTTCTTGCATTTTATACTCGAGAAAACTGAAATCTGTTTAAATGAAGATTAGATAAACCCCAGAGAAGTGAGATCAGCAAAAGTAAAAACAAGATCTAAACGGAAGTCTTCCTGATTTCTGGTTTTCCACATGCTCAGTCTACTTTTACTTGCTGGTAGATAGAAGAAATGCTTTCATTGTCTATATTTTAAGTTGTTTAATGAAAGAGCCATGGTTTACTAAAGAATTAGTGAGGGAAATAAAATAGAAAAAATGAGTGGAAAAACTGAAGAGTGATGATAGTGCTTTTCTAGACATGCCATGTGAGGAATGCTGAATTTTCAATGTCGCATTTGATGTTTATGGATTTTAGGGACCAGCATTTTGTCAGTGATGATAAATTGCATGCAGCAGGCTCATCAGTGTTCTGAGGCTCTAAGGAATAGATTAGGCTTAATATAAACTGGAGTTATAACATGCAATTAAAATATTCCTCCACCTTGAAAGGTTCAACTGCAGCTTTTGGGTCAACGTGTGGATATCTGGCTGTTTCCTAGTTAACTATAAGATGCAGGCTCCAGGATGTGGATCCTGGCTACTGATCATTCTTTACTCCTTCCCTATGGCCTGGCCTCTGAGGATTTGTTGGAATCTGGAGCCTTCCCTTCTGCTGTGGATTGGCAATGAATAGAGGTAATGATGCTTTGTGTCCTCAATTCTAATACACTAAGAGAATGGGAGCAACAGTGGAAAGGATGGAAAGTTTGGATTTGCTCACACTTCAGATGGGCATAAGGTATGTGTGTGTGGTTGGGGGTGGGAAAGAGGAGAGGGAGTTTATATTCTGCTATTTCTGGGAAGTTGGGAGTTGGAGGTGAATGGTGGCCCAACTCCATTCCTCATCTTTTGGATCTCTATACATGTATTTTACCTTCTCTCACTTGCTTCCTTTCTCAGTTGTGTTTCTTTTGGCTGGCCCATCTTCTCAATTCTCTCTTTGATAGTAGCAGGTAGGAACTGGGTGGGAAAGGTGTGATTTGGAAAGTGTTTTTCCAATAGGAATATGCCTGTTGTATGTATCTGTTAAACCGTTTTTTAAATAGATTCAAAGTTCTATATTTTAATTATTATTCTAGATTGACTATAAAATGTTAGAGTATATTGTATATCAGTATTGTTGTTTTACCATTTTTAAAACTGAAATGTAGCCTTGCATTAGCCTAAGTTATCTAACTTTTATTTAAACAGCATTTTA